ATACGATACGTATGTGCGAATAGCGCTTTTCGCTGTTTCCTTGTCGCAACTGCGCGGCGCGCAGTTCATGGCCGCGGAAACCAATTTTTATTGCGAGGATAATATTGAATTTTGACAGTCCGCGCGACGGATGACCGCGGACTTTCTTGCGTGTCGTCGCAGAGAGGTGATGTTTTTGTTCGAGACAAGAGAACCGCCGCTGCAGTTGAAATATGCAGAGTGAATGGAATAGAATATATATATATATATTTTTTTTTTTTCGTCATTTGAATTCGAACGAGATTCAAATGACGAAGCAATTGTAGAAGCGGCCCCATTTCGCATACACGTACACGCATACGCGCGCGTTATTTATGTACCGATTGTACGAGCGTTAATTTCGCCAATTCTGGAAAAACGATACCGCTGAATTTTATCGTGTTCTCGAATTTTGATGCGAGGCGATTCGGCCGTTCTTTCCCGAAGGTATTATCTCCGTCCGCTTGTTTCACGCAGTACAATGATGAAAGCGCGAAGCGGAAGGAGGGGCAAGACGCTATTAAGGTGCATCTTGGTCTCTCAGTTTCGAAAACGCAGGCGCGATAGAGAGAGAGAGAGAAAAAGAGAAACTACCCAACGTATTATGCGCGAATTAAAAACACATGCGTCCAAGCTCCGTGTCGCGAAATGAACTTTACCACAACGGTCATACACGTCACTGTCAGTCGTGTCGTGTTAACGAACATATATTTCAGTTGTCACAACGACGCGCGGTGGTTTTCGCAAAGATGACGGACCGACGCGATATTCTTTGCATATTCGCGGAACACGTTTCATCGTTTAGCACACACTGCCGCGGTCTTAACGCCGAGATGGAAAATCGTTATTTCAATCTCGCCGTGACCATCATCGCGCGCAAATCTCCCGCTGCATTTCCCGGGCGAATTTTTCGAGCGTCCTACAATAGCGGCGAATTTTTCTCGCATTGTCGCTCCCGAATGGCCGATAATTAATTTCGCCAGATCGGGAATGCGAGCTACTACGTGTTGCATATTTTATTACATTACTGAAGTTTTGAGCATCGATCCGCGAATATTCGATGCGTTCGAGATCGATTCGAGCATGACGCCGTTCTGCGGACGGAACGGCGAAAAGCGCGCGCATCCACTCAGCGTGTACTGAGTTGTTGAAAAATTAGGAGATCCGAGCGATTTCACGCGCTGGCCGACGAACGCCGGGCGGTTCGGCGCGACTAACGAGCAGTTAATTAGCCTATTGAAGCAGCTGGGATAGGCGGTCGAACTTTCACGATGTTCAACAGTTTTTGAGAATAGTGAAATTAACAGATAGAGAGGGATCGTAATTGAAACGTGACCCGCGAAATTTCCTCGATTTTTCACTCGCGACCCGCGAAATTCCTTCGCTTCATTCATGACGAATTGAATTCTTAACTTTTCGACCACACTTCTGAAAAGTCGCTCGCACCGCAAACAGGGTCATATTGACCTTGTGATTTTCTATATTTTATATCTGAAAAAACGCGAAAGGAAAGAGGCTGACACAATTCTAGAGTAAAGTCTTCTACTTTAATGTTTGATCATACTTTCATAGAGAAACAAATTTTGAACGTTATTGAAAAAAAAAATTTGAATTTAGACAGTGGCGATGAAGTTAAAAGATAGTTCAAGCGGAAAAAAAATATGACTCCAGTGCACGTTCGAAAAACTTTTTTTCTGGACCGCTAAAAAAAGGATATTTTGAAATGTCGAAAATAGATGTTTTATGGGAAAAAATATTATTGTGGAAATATTAAATATAATTTATTTTTTACTTGCAAAATGGTAACACGTATTGTTTTGAGAATAATGAATTATTTAGGATCACGCTTTGCAGGATGCGTTTGCGTAGGCTACACGCTCTCTGACACTAATATAACATTATTATTATTTATCATTAGAAAAATATACGCGTAATCACAATGCTCACTTGCTTTCAGACACAAATTTTTAACAAAAAGTCTCACTTATGGCGTCAAATTATATACCGACCGCACATTATGGGTCTAATTGACCCTGCGTCAAATTCGGATGACTCCGAAACACGCATTTAACACGCATCGGCTTATCAGATTCGCACATCTAACCTCCACATTTAACGGAGCGACTCTTGAAAGATCTTTCAGGAATGCAGGGAATTCACAGATCATACACTTCTCTTTGCTAAAAATAAAATTTCTTCTAACTCACCCGATCTATCTGACCCATAATGCGGTCGAAAGGTTAATCATCGTCGTCGTGAAAGGACGAGATAGAACACTGAGAGTAATTTCCCAAAACGCGCGATCCAAGTCGCGACGGCCATCGCCCCCCCCCCTCTCCCTCTCTCTCTCTCTCTGTTTCGTAGCGTTTTTCCCTCTCGTGCTCCGCTCCTCGCATTATCGAATATCGCCTATTTGTCGGGCGACGTCTTCCCGCTCGTTCGGTTACGCTTATCGCGTCGCTGTTTCGCCGACTTTCGCCCTCCTTTGGATCTCCCGGCCTGCCTGGCGGGGGCCGGCGCGCTTGCCAGAAATATCAATTTGCGCGGGAGTGGTAACAGTTTGCTTGATTTGGCACGGCGCGGCTTACGTCCGAAATAAATCTTCGCGAGCGCAGTGTCGGCGGCCCGGCCCCGGAAACCGATTGTCTATTCGGATTTGACGCGAGTGGCGTTCGCGCTCGTCCTCCCGACTTCGCGGGCGATATCTCATTTTCGTGCCGCTCCGGTCCGCGTCTTATTTATTCTCCCGGCCGATCCGATCGATAGCTCGGGCGGAAAACGCGTGGGGCCTGTCACGCGCGAGCTCGGATGAATTGCTATCGGCGCGCTTTATAACCGTTCGTCTTAAACTCGCGGATGTCGCGCGAGACTCCTCCGCGCCGTTACGCCGCGGGTCTCGCGGATGCAAAATTAAAAGGTGGCCATTGACAGGCGGGGGGCCGCCTGCTAGCGGAAACGCGCAATAAATTACAACGGCAAACTCGTAATTGTTGCCGCGACAATGAGCGTTTCGTCACGGAAGTAAATGCACTCGGGAAGCAATCCGTCCGGGCGTTGGGTCGGTTTATTCCGGAGCATGCTGCGCACATATGCATCGGATGCTGCGTTCGGTTTTCCGGCCGCGACAACGTGCGCTGCTCCACATCTCAGTTTCTTCGTAACTACGTTTTTAATTCCATTCATCTCATTCGGGCCGCTCTCGAAATCTCTTGGAGTGACTCTTCTCTTTTACGGAGCGAGTTTTTCTACCCTGTGAATATTCACAACACATGGAGTGAATATTTTCACTCCGTGTCGTGGAGTTCTATTCACAAAATGAAATGACTACCGAATTGGTCACTCGAGTTGAAACGACTTCTTGTAGAGTGAATTTCCTTCCGCTCCGTATCGTGGATTAAATATTTTCATTTCGTATCGAATCTAATCTAACCTAATCTAATGGCGTATGTTATAAGCAACAAGATGGTCGAATCTTACTACAACCGTTCTGTGTGGTCCTTCTTCCCGCTTCACACTTTCAGTTCACAATTTATTGCACTTCATACGGAACGTGTATTTGAATAAAAATATTTAAAAAGCTACTTTATTCTCTTTTAAATATTATTAATAATATTTAAGACTTCACTAATTGACGTAATAATATTATATTTCTATTATAAAATATAAATGGGTAGCGGGTGGAAATCCTGTAGAATTCAGGACTATAGACAATGTTAATTTACTTATCAATCAAGGCGAGATGGCGTGGTGCAAGATGGTAGCAGACCAAGATCCCGAATTTTTGCATTCAATCTCAGCCGGTAGTAAAAAAATTGTTCAAATACAACATAAATGGAATCGATTAAATATAATTGAGAAAATTTAGAGGTCCAATCATTAATGACATCTTAAGAACAACGCAATAAAAATTAATACATATTAAAGAATGTAAATTAGAAGAATTCACTCTTCTTGAAGTAAATTCATTCCAATCGAGTGAAACATTTATTCCATGGTTGGAGTGGAACATTCACCCTTGTGAAAAGTGAAATGTCACTCCATTCCGAGTGGCAGTATTTTCGCTATCGCTTGAAATGAATTCTCACTTGTTTGGAGTGAGGTTTCACTCCAAGAAATTTGGAGGGTAGGATATTCTTAAAAAAAAAAAACCTTCCTTTTCGACGATTCGCAAGGAACAATCGACTCCGTTCCCTCATATGAAATCTGTCGATCATTCATGCGCGAGTCTACCCTCACAACAGCCAGATTAGATAAAAATGAGATCGCACGTCGGGAGAATAACACGTCCCGTTGTGAAATTGGCAGCCGAACGACCTCCGGCCGATCGCATGGCGCGGATCCGCGATTCCTCCGTGCGACCACAACCCTTCGAATCGCGATCGCCGCTAAATCCCACCGACGACGGTGCCGGCTTTTCGCGCACTAGAAAAGCCGACGAGAGAGAGAGAGAGAGAGAGAAAGAGGGCCCATACGCGGGAAAATAATAATAAGAGGAACGCCCGCGGGGTTTGGGGGTAGGTGTACCCGGCGGAGAGGCGCGAGGGGGACGGTGGTGGATGCATAATTGAATGAAAGCGTGGCGAACAGAGCCAAGGGGTAGTTCCTACGACTGGGAGGGGGCGGAATGCTATAATTTCAAGCCAGACAGTCATGCGTTATTCAGCGCCGAGGTCCCTCTCTCTTTCTCTTTCTCTTCTCTCCTTCTATTCTCTTCTCTTCTCCTCTGCCTTTTCCGCGTCTCCGTGCGGCCCTTCGGAGTTCCACCTCTTCATTTTCTCCTCTCCTTTTCATCCCAACCCCGCTGATCCTCGGCACTTCTGTCCGCCGTCTAACACCCCTTTAACCCTTCTTCGCCCGCCGCCTTGATCGTTTTTGATTCGCCACTCGCGAGGATAAGTAAGCACGATAAGTAGGCAGCGGGATACACGCGCGGGGATGCCACTACATCGGACTAATCGTTCCACTATCCGTCTGTGTTTTAGGAAAGCGACAACCTTTGGTGGGACGCCTTCGCAACCGAGTTCTTCGAAGATGACGCCACCCTCACGCTCACCTTCTGCTTGGAGGACGGACCGAAGAGATACAGTGAGTAGATACGCGAGTGTATTATTTGCGTTTACATTTAACTTTAAAACTATCGATTTACATGGGGCTCATGTTTTATTCATGAAGCCTACGAGAGCAAAGTAACGCGTCTGATAAGCATACGCCTCATTTTCGTCGGATTAGCTTCTCCATGTGAGTGGTATAAAAACTTCGTTCCAGCGCGGAATTCCGTGAAACTTTCAGTTTTCGGTCGGATCGATGCAGAACTCTCATTTCGATAATCTAAAAAGGGACATCGAATTAATTATTCATTGACTCGGTCGGGGCAAAATCATTAGCTAACTCGCACTTGTGAAGTACGACTAAGGCGCAGTATCTGAATCGTGCAGTTGCAGGTTAGCTTTGTTGCAAAATATCGATTTTCTTATTGGCTTCCCGTGCCGGGAGTATTCGGCTATTTCGATTTTGAGCCAGGACAAGTTGCCAAATAGCGAGTAACGTTTAGCGCGCGGGATCACGAGGTTTCTCCTGGTTGCACGACCGTACCTCTCCGTCGAGAAAGCTGGATATTGCATACAGAATATCCTTTTGCGAGCTACGCTTTAACGTACAGATATTGAAAGTGATTCTCTACCTTAGAAGAGAAGAAAAAGGGAGCCATGGAAAATATATTGATGATATATGTAACATAAAATTGAATTGAAATATATAACGCAAAATCTCAAATTAAATTATATTTATTGAGTAAAATAAGTCTGAATAAATATGCTTCTATTTATTTCCAAAATCATTCGAGACTTAAGTTAATATATTAAATTCATATATTACATACATATTATATATATATGGATTACTTTTATTTAATATATTATATCAATAATTAAATATTACATTGATATATTAAATTAAGTCGAACGATTCAATTTACGAAAGAAACACAGTGTCACGTATTAAGTTTCATGAAGAGCGTATCTTTTCTTTTCGTCAGGTAAGAGGGGGGAAGGAGAGAAAAAGAGAGAGAGAGAGAGAGAGAGAGAGAGAGAGAGAGAGAGAGAGAGAGAGAGAGAGAGGAGGGGGGAGGAGCGAAGGAGGATAACGTTCTCGAGTACCCACGATATCTACGTCCGTTATCTCCGTTTAATGCGATCGATTCCGTCGGCGCGCGATAATTTCTTACACCTCGGCGATACTTCCCGGGCGATCCATTGTCACCGACACTTAATCGCCACAGTACGCCCCCCCCCCCCCCC